CGGACCTTCACCGATTTCCCTGATTTTTACTGTAAAAGTCGAGACTTCTATCCCATGAACAAATGTTGCGTTTATTTTGAACCAGTCTGGTTTTTTCACTTTTTACGAGATATTTTTCAAGGTGACCTCAAAGGCACCCAGTTTCCCCCCCGACCTCCATAATTTAGCTACAAAAGTCGATCGCTGCTGTAGCCGTATTTTCAATTCTAACGAGCTTTCTATTTTATATGTCTAAGATCAACCTTTTGCCATTACGTTAACGGTAAAATAATGTGTNCTGTTGGTCGGATCGCGTTATCTTTGATTTCGATCAAAATGGCGAATATTTGTGAAATTTGCAAAGCTCTGTGCGGCGCGCCATGAAGAGTGCCCAAAAGTTTTATTCCATAATTTACTTATTAGGTGTAAGTGCTTATAGGCTGTAATAGATTTGACTCTAGATCAGGTCCCACATAAGAGAAAATAGCTTTCAACCACATGTACCTCACGCATCACAAATTTCAGTGCTCGAGGTAAGTATTTTGAAAAATTTGTAACTCAGTGAAAAATATATACAGTGTAATCATTTGACCGTTAACGTAGTGGCAGAGGGTTGATCTTAGACATGTAAAATAGAAAGCTTTTTAGAGTTGAAAATACGGCTTCAGCAGCGATCGACTTTTGTAGCTAAATTATGGAGGTCGGGGGGGGGAACTGGATGCCTTTGAGGTCACCTTGAAAAATATCTCGTAAAAATGAAAAAACCGGACTGATTCAAAATAAACACAATATTTGTTCATGGGATAGAAGTATCGACTTTCACAGTAAAAATTAGGGAAATCGGTGAAGGTCCGAAATTTGCCTTATCCTTTCTTAGATGGACAGCCTCTTAAAGCTTTACCTAGGTGCCATTAAAGGGGCTCTCCAGTCATGAATCCGTACGTTGTGAGATTTCACATTTTTCATAGTTGGAAAATGAAAAAATTCTCGAAACTGCAAAAACGTTATAGATCCCATTGTGAAGGATTGACCACTTGACATCTGCCTAGTGCATGAGTCACGTTTTGCTCTCGGGTTATGACAACCTAATTCTATAAAAGGTGAATGAATATGGGCACAAACACACAAATGTGTAATAACATCTTCAATGAGGAACTCAAGATGTTGCTTTGGAAAGCTTTAAGTTTGATTTCTCTGCTAAACAGTTTTTTATCGGCAGGTAAGGTTTTATTTGCAGCTTCAATTTAGTGTTGACTGCTAATCGGAACGACGGAACAGTATTACTCATGCAACTGATTCTTTAGCTGACAGCCTTTACACTAAAAATTCATTACCTTAGCTCGGGATTCATAAAAACACTAAAAGTATATAGCGAATCTTCCTTTGGATTGCAAACCTGGCGGAAAATTTTCCCTGCAACACGACGAAGTGTGCAATATCAAAAGCTCTTTCGGGCACTTCTGTAACTTTCTCATTGCAAAAGAGTTTCAAGTCATACTCTTTTGCGCTTTTGACACGCGAGCTACAAATTAAACTCTCTGTGTAACTTCACTGACATCCAAAATTCAAAACTCTCCGCGCTCAGTTTCATTCAAGCGCATCTTTTTTTTTTTTTTTTAGGATCACGTTATGTTGCGATTATGTTTCGCGCTGATATTGCGCGAGCCCAACAAGAAACTCTCTGCGACATCATCAACATTAGAAATGGGCGACTTTCGCTTCATTAGCGATCGAGCCAAAACAATTTTCCGACTAGGCCTTTGTTATAGATTGTGCTAGGGAAAGTATCATATTGTGCCACTAATATTGCTCCATTTTTCTCCGAATTATACTTAAAACAATGCTCGTTTTTAAAAATTACGCAACTTTTTCTTAAAGTATGCTTCTCAAAAAAGAAACAAAAAGACAAATCCAAATGACATATTTATTGTTAATAAAGCATAATATTTATTTTGAGCTTTATACTTGCCCTGATAAAACATAATTAACTAATGCACTTAATTCCATACTAGAAGCGGTGAAAAAATGGTCGATGTTAGTTTTATTCGACTCCATTCTGTTTCCTGTGAAAGTGATAACTGGACTGACACAATCTTTACTTACGGTGTACCCAGCCTTTAAATGGCGAACGACTCAGTATTTCTGTCACTTTATCCCCCCCAAAACATTGTAACTGAAAACAGACTGAACAATGGAACGAACTTAGCTGAACTGATTGTTCGGTTCCGGGTTGCAGTATCTGTTACAGCTCCAGCTTTAGATGTATACATTAGAAGCGAAGGGTACAGTGATAGAGGAAAGACATCGTTCACACGTGGAATTGCTTATATCAAGGTGAACGGCAAGGATTACTCCCGTCACGGCAGAGGGCATAACGTTGTTGTTGTGGACGGGGCAACAGGTGTGTGTATTATTAAGGTATTACTTACATTTAGTTATGATTAGGGAAATCTCGACAATATAAGCAAGGAAAAAGCTCCTTGGCTTAGGCAAGATCTAAATGGCGTCTGCGTGCTTTTCAATCTAGTTATTATTCTCAGCAGAGTTATAAGCCAAAGAGCGAATATTGTCGAATAATCCCCGAGAAAAAGTCGAGGACATTTTCCGACCACAAAAACCGGCATATAAACCGTGCACAACATTGAGCTGAACTTCGGACGAATGGTGTTTCGTGGCAATTTAAGAAATGAACATTAAAGAAATGGGCAGCCAACACCCTTCATTTTGGCTAAACCTAAATCATTTCTCTCTCAGCCTCAAATGATGTATTTTATTATCCAACTACACTTAGACGAGTACAAATAACGCCATAGACGAGTACAAATATCACGCGGTATTTGTACTCGTCTATTGTAGAGTACCGGTTAAACAGGTTTTCTAGCATCGCGCAAACGAAGAATTGGATTGTAGTTACGAAAAAAAAAAAAAATGGTCGACAATTTGAATCATATTTCCGACAACGAAGAGTCATAATGGCTGGAAAATATAGGTCAAAGTTTTTTAGATGAATCGAACGAAGAAAAACAACTTGACGACCAGRAAATTTCTTCATTTATTGACGAAAATAGAAACAGCAACACGACAACGCGCCAATTCCGTTCCGCTTCGCATACTTCTGTCACGCACTCCCCGTAAATAAATATCCGCGAAATTCGCCCGCAGAAACAACAGTTTGGCGTGTTGGATAATAAATAACTTATTAGACGTTTTGTTGTGTAGTATCGCTGAGTATTTTTACTCGTTATTTGTATTTTGACGAGCCCGTAGGGCTCGTCAAAATACAAAACTACTCGCCCTACGGGCTCGTCAAAATACGGCACAACTCGTAAAAATATTCAGCGATACTACACAACAAAACGTCTAATAAGATATATGTATTACGCATTGCTTGCTCTGATTGATTTATTTGATCAATATAAATCTTCGCTTTACTTATTAGTCTTGAATTGAGTCATATTTTTGTCCAGGACTTTTGCACTTTCTTGATTCAGTGCAAAAGAGGATTTAAATTTTTTTTTTTATCTTTTATAATTCCTGGTTCTCAAACCGGCCATGTTTTTTTTTTCTCTCAGGTGTCATTCTTTCTTCAAAAGTTTTCGACACCCATGGGAAAAGATATGCTGGTGATAACCTGAGAGATCACCTCAAAAGCATTAAAGGAAAGTAAGTAATTTTATTTCAGGTTTATGGTGTAATTCTAGCATTTTAGCCTTGGAAAATCACACCTTTAATGTGATGCCTAACTCTTTTTAGCTTAGGTATCATATAGATTTTTAGAAATTACGTTTCTCGAACAGAGGACTCACCGGTGTAATGATCACTTGCGGCCATGTAATCTAGGACTACTTTCGGTCGTAAGACGAGTCGGGCGAGCGGTTACCCAGCTTTTTCTATACTTTCGTTGATTCATCTAATTTTGCAGTGCAGTTATTTTCAAGTCAGTTAGAGAATGTCGAACACATCATTGGTCTAGCCTTTATTGTCTTGACAACAACTGGGTTGGAAAATTACCTGAACAAACTACATTAAAGAAATCACTGAGAAACCGAAAGAACTGAAAGACGTCCTAGATTACTTCGCTGGAAGTGATCTTTACGACCAGCTTTTTGACATTTTTTTTCCTGCTGGCACTTAACTCTCCCAGTCTAATACCGCTTACACCAGAAAAAAATGTTTGGAAAAACCAGATTTAAGTGAGTGAAATTCAAAGAGAATCTCTTGGTTCGTGTTAGAAGTCAACCATCAAGAGCTGACCTTTTAATTCTCTCCTGTGGATTATATATTTTGATATTTTTCCTTACTTTAGCAAAATTGTTTTGGTCGCCGTTCAAGAAGATGGCAGCCAATATTCCTCATCGGCGGTTAACGCTCTCAAGATGCTGGGGGCTCGTGGTTCTGTTCGAGGAAGCTATCGATCTTCTTTTGCATTTGTTGGTTACGCAGGCACAGGACAGCAAGCATGGGTAAAACAGAAGCAGAACAACAGATATCGAAGGCCCAGTGAAATAAGTCAGAAAATTCCCCTTTCATCAAGTATGTCAACTCGGTATAGTGTAATGCTCTAAATGTCTATACATTTGCTCAACAAGTGAATATTTAAGATCGCTCAGTGCCTCTTTGGTTCTACAAGGTGCCGATGTACATAAATCAGTGAATTGAACATAATATTTGGGTTTCTACCTTGATCGACCAGTATTCAGGAAATGACGTGCTTGTCAGTTCAATCAGCCCTCTTACTCACATTAGGCGAACATTGATTGAGAGAGGCGCAAAAAGGCGAGAGAGGATGGGAAAAATCATGTACAAGCAATTGTAGAGACTTGTGACAATCTTTCTGTGACCTGAGTTTTCTTCCCAGTGAGTCCAAAGAAAGCAACTTTGATCATAGGAAAAATAACCTTGTCTAACTTGCAGGAGACTATAAATGCCAAAACCAAACTCTACAGGGAGACAACGGCGTTATTTACTCACCTAACTATCCAGAAAGGTACCCAGATGGGCAATACTGCATGTGGAAGATCATGGTGAAAGCATCTTTTCAAGTGGCATTAATGTTTACCCACTTCAGTCTACAATCTGAAAACAACACGGACGCTGTTTGTTTGTACGATGGCACCAACCAAACAGAGAAAATGTTAGCAGTGTTCTATGGCGGTCAGCCTCCCCCCAGGAATGGAATTTACTCTTCCTCAAACAGCCTTCTTGTAGTATTCAGATCAGATGAGAATGGCTCCTTCTATGGGTTCCAAGCTTCTTATAGCGCTGTTAAGTGTTCTGGTAAGAGTATGTTCATTGACAGTGATACAAAATAAATATATAAAAGTTTGAGATGTATCCAAAGAAAATCCTCGAAAAATGAACTGATTCAAAACACTTCGACACAGAACTTAGATCAAGCCCTAATCTATAGCACTAGTGAGTTGTATCGCGCAGATTGAGTACTGTTTAAGTGCACCGACGGTAAATTTGAACTGCTGACTATTTCTAGACATGAAAATTGATTGTTATTCCTTTCCTTGATAAACTAGGCACTACAAGCGAATGAGGCGAAAGACGATAGCATTCTGCGTGATTTTATCGTATGTTAACCTGTCATGTAATGTTACAAATGAAGGAGAAATCAAAGCTTCGTTGAACTTGTGAAAACAGGACGTGGCTCTCCCGGGCTTGAACTTTGCACCCTGAACTGAGATTTGTTAATGTCAATTTAGTTTGCAAGGCATGAATATATCAGAAGAAAGCTCATATATGAGTTATTAATCAGAATATAGTGCAAAAAGTCAGCTGTTTTATTTGACCCCTTGTATTTGATACATTTGTAGGACCCCTTGGAATGGAGAGTGGCGCGATTTTGGATGCGCGAATAAGTGCGTCTTCGCGAATGAATAACAACAGCACACCAAGACAGGCGAGACTGAACTTCATTGAACAGGGCAGCAAGGAAGGGGGATGGTCGTCTCTTGTAAATGATCGTGAGCCATGGCTTCAGGTGGATCTTGGCAGTTACACCACAGTGACAGGTGTGGCGACTCAGGGGAAGAACTCTTCAAAATTGCGGCAGTGGATAACAACTTACACGTTACAATTTAGTTATGACGGAGTGATCTTCCAGTTATACAAAGAACCTGATAAAATGTCAGCTAAGGTAAAATCTCTTTGGATGATAGTTTTTTCCCCTATTTTTAAAAAAAATGGTTTAAAGTGTAACGAGTAAGTGAACCTTTGGACCTACCGACACATTCATCTCGTTGCATCAGTATTTTTAAAGTTTGTACGTGAGCTCCTGTTGAGTGAAGGTAGGGTTTCTTTTCAAGCTCAGTTGGTTTTGTTTTATACAATCAGGTACTCCACGGCAATCAAGACAGTGATACAGTTGTGTATAACAAGTTGATCTCACCAATCAATGCTCGTTACATCAAGCTATTGCCAGTCACGTGGCACAACCACACATCACTCAGAATGGAGCTCTATGGGTGTCAAGGTATTTCATGAAATCATGGTCTCTTACTGAGAAAAAACTGCAGTTAAGTGTTTCTAAAGAAACCACAGTTCAGAGACACAAAGCGTTGGTGTGCTTCTGGTGCTTGAGGACGAAATTATATATTGTGACATAATCGAGAATAGATTAAAAGAAAACGGTACCAAGAAAAAAATTGTGTACAAAACTGATAAGAAAATCCATTTTTCTAAGTTATTTTCCTTTAAAATAGAGAAGAGAATCTTGTTATCTTATTTTATTACACGACTCGGGCAGTCAGAAGGCTAATAACTAAAATCAACCAATCAAAATGCTGTATTGCCGGTCCAATATTCTCTCAGTGTTGGACCGGGCACTGTCCCGAATGGTCCCGAATGATACCGCACTTGTGTCCCTTTGAACTTCAGTCGTATAATAAATCTCTTATTAACCAAGCTTGCTCGGGACCGTACTGGAAGAATATCGGTCCTCGGTCTTTTTTGTACGGACCTCGCTGCGCTCGGTCCGTACTGTCAAGACCTCAGGCCGATATTCTCCCAGTACGGCCCTCGCGCTTGGTTAATAAGATATATTTACTCTTACTTAAAATCTGTAATTTTTTCAAAAACATAAGCGGGTGTTTGAAGTAGTAGTTTAGAGTTCCAACTCTATATAATTCTAAGCGCTTAGTTGCCTCTAAAACTTATGCACGACTTATTATTTCTATTATTCTACGATCTGTTGTTTTACAGACCCACAGCAACGTGTAATCTGTACGTTTCATAATATAAAGAAGCCAAAAATTGTTACTGGTGAGGTCAACCACGCGTCTGACCTCCAACAGATCATAAGTAGGGACCAGTTAAAATTCGCGTAAAAACTAAGCTTATCGTATGAATCATGATAGGTTAGAGTGAAGAATTGCTGTTTGGAAAGTGTCAATCAAGCACATTTTTTGTTTCCTTTCTGATCAAACCCATTCAGGTTGTTCCTCACCACTTGGCATGGAAAGCCAGGTTATCTCCGATAGTCAAATTACCGTCTCCACTCAATGGTATTACAATCCTCCTAAATCTGCACGGTTGAACTTGGGCGGCTGGGTTGCTTATAGTGCTAATCGTAGACCATGGCTTCAGGTGGATCTTGGAACTTACTCAACTGTGACAAGTGTCGCAACTCAAGGAGTGAACTGGTTCTGGCGGAGCTTGTGGCCCTGGCACCATTACAACTTATGGATAGTTAGTTACAATTTACAATACAGCGATGATGGAAAAGCCTTTAATTTTTACAAAGAACCTGGAGAAACGCTACCTAAGGTATACACAGAAAGTAATTTAAATAATCATGGATTGAGCATGATCATGTGAATGTTTCAGTCTAAGCTGGGTTTCATGATAGAAGGTGCTCACTTTGTTATCACCTTGGGCGTAATGCTATGTTCAAAACTTCTAGTGTGTACGTCCTGAAGTGAAAAAGGCGATTACAAGTCTCTCTAAAATTATGTTGTGTATCCTTTTCACAGGTGTTTAATGGAAATCAAGACTACCTGTCAGTTGTGCGTAACAAGCTAAAGCAGTCAATCACAGCTCGTTACATTCGATTCAAACCTTTACGCTGGAACGGTTATAGAGTCGGAATGCGAACCGAAATATATGGTTGTCTAGGTATGTTCCAAATATTATTTTATTCAGGATAATTTTTAGGAAATAGATATTTCTCATGGGGAGGGGGAGCTCTAAACACATTCGAAGCTCAACGGAAAGAAACCCTGTTACAAGGTTGATATCACATTTCTCTTAGCTAAGGCCAAAGCCATACTGTCACATCAGCTATTAAACAAAATATATTTTTTGGCCTTTTTTTCTCGCTAAAGGAAGGTTAATTCTATTTTAGTTTTATCTGTTACAGTAAATTATTTGTAATTTGTTCGTGGACAAACTGTAAGTGTTTGTAACGATGATCGCGTGACCGTGACACACACTTTTGTCAAGTACCAAAATGTGAATAACACTGATATCAAAACTCACTTATTGCAGAATGTGCAGTCCCTCTTGGCATGGAAAGTGGGTCAATATCTGACGCGCAAATCACTGCTTCCTCGCAATCGGATGGAAACCACTCCCCAGTACAAGTCAGGTTGCATTTTCAGGCCGAGGGAAGCAAAGCCGGAGGGTGGTCGGCTCTTACAAATGATACCAACCAGTGGCTTCAGGTGGATTTTGGTAGTTACACTCGAGTGACACAAGTGGCGACTCAGGGGATGAACGGAGCCGATGAGTGGGTGACCAGATACAAGTTACAGTACAGTGATAATGGAGTGAACTACAAGTTCTACCAAAAAACTGGAGACAATTCGGTTACGGTATCGTTTTTCCTCATTTTATCAACTTCTAATAGACATATTTATATCATAAATGAAAATATTCATCTGCAAATACTGTAAATTTAATGCTTGCACCTCAGTTTGAATAGGACATAACCACGGTTAGGAAACCACAAAAGCACGCCGTTGACTAGCCACGTTGTTGCATTATCTCTTTAGTCATTCATGATTACCTGTTATTTTAAGCGCAATTCTGAAAGTAAAGCTGGGAAAACAAACAAACAAACAACTAACAAACAGTAGAGTAACTTATCACAATCAGATAAACAAACTCTTCCGTATCGAAAAACGTCCATGATAGTCAGACCCCAAATCAGGTCTTAATTAACTGTGATGTTTGTGACCATTTTAGGAGTTAAGGGGAAACCGAGACCGTGACGAAGTTGTATATAATACACTTCGTCCGTCACTCAAAGCACGGTATGTCCGCATAATCCCAACACAGTGGAACAAAAATATATCCATGAGGATAGAGCTCTTTGGATGTTCAGGTGATCGAAAACGATTCTTTGTTTTGAAAATATTTTTCTGATGGGTTAAGGGGTTGCTTTGGGCATTGTTTTCGTTTTTATCTAGAGACGGTTCTCAAGCAGGAGGCACCATGGCTAAAATCATTCCCAACGGAACTTATGTATAGCCAGCTGTGTGTGTTTGTAACCGTTAACTGTTTCTCAGTATCCGTTCTCCTTCTTTTTTGCCATGGAATTCTTACAATTGCGATTTTGAGAATTTGGAGTTCAGATCTAACAATATTCCCAAGCTAATATTTCTTTTCTTCTTATAACCTTCCCAACAACAATGATGTAAAGCAAAATTGCTTGATAGTTACTCACTGGAGGGGAAGATTAAATTTAAAGTTGACTCAAATCTGTCGCGGCTATTTGCTAACCCATACACGGACTAACTGACGAACTAAGATTATCCAGTTATGGAACTACCATTATATATCCAAAAAGTTGTCATGCTTGTCGGAAAAATTTCACGTCAAAAGAGAAACATCAACCTACTCTGCTGATTTACACATTTTAACCGTGACACAATGTAACGTTTATCGAAGACGAATAAAAAAAGATGTGAACAATTTATATAGCGCTTATTGGAAGCCCCAAAGCGCTTTATAATTGAAAATCCCTACTGGCAGGAGGCAGATCACTAGGCTATTTACAGAGCGCAGCCGAGGAGTTGAACTTAGGGCAACCGAGAACAAACCCAGTGAATGACAGGGTGGAGGACTTGAACCCAGGACACCGGAGTTCATTACCTTAACCACTCGGCCACGTCGCCTCCTCGTTGGATAAAGGTCTCCTTTCAAAATAATTCATAGGACGCCAGCATGAAAGTGGCAGTTGTTAAACTTATTCCAATAGAAAATAAAGGAATAACTAAAGTTCCTTAAATTTCCCAGATCAATTACAAATTTGGGCAATTTCAAAGCGGTATTTCCACAAACACAAACAATACCAAATTGTTAATATAGAATAATGGAAAGGAAATGATGGAAAGGTGTCCTCGGCATTTTGTCCAAACTATGACTCAACTTAAAATGAAATCATCAAATTACAAATCATGGAATCGGGCTGGGAGCTCGAGGTTCTCCAAGTAAACCATTGTAAATCCCCGATTGTCCGTTTTCTCCTCTAGATTGTATTTTACCAGTCGGTATGGAGAGTGGCTTAATCTCCGATGATCAAATTAGTGCATCATCTCAACTAGATTATAATCATGCGCCACAGCGTGCCAGACTGAATACCAAGATAAGTGGAACAAAGCAGAGCGGTTGGCTTCCTCTTACAAATGACCGTGATCAATGGCTTCAGGTGGATCTTGGTAGTTACACTCGAGTAACACGAGTGGCGACTCAAGGGAGGGATGGCTATGACGAATGGGTGACTTCTTTTGAGTTACAACACAGTATTAACGAAATCAATTTCAGGTCGTACAAGGAAGTTCTTGGAGGCAACCGCAAGGTACGCAGCGTTGACTAAATCAATGTAAAGCTACCTTAAGAATTATTGGTATCATTAAAAACTTCTGACTTACTCTGAATAAGAGATTTCATAGCTCTATAAATGGTTGTTTGCACATGCAACCAGGCTGAAAGCAGATTGATAAAAAAGAAAAGCAGTTGGAGCATTGTTATATTCTCGATCGAACTTCAACAAATTTGAATTAAGCAAAGGAAAATAGGTTTCTGACCCAACAAGAGCAAAGATTATGGTACACAGTAGATCTCAAGGCCAGGTATCTAGTTAAAGTACTTCTCTAACGAGCCATTATTTTCTTGGGCCATACAAGTCTCCATTAGAGTGTATCAATGTCCTGAAGCTTTTCAAGACATTGGGCAAGCCCTGGATCGTGGAGTCGAGACTGACAATATTGTATCAAGAAATGGGCCATTGTTGTGGGTTAAATTCGACTTCACAAGTTCAAACAAAACCCTTTTGTTGTTTGTTGTGCTGAGGGAATTGTGCCGAGACTTGGCGAAGATTAATTTCAAATCGTCGCAAAATTGTCGGTGTGTAGAATTAACGGCACCAGGGGAGAGAGGTTAGGAAAGTCGCTCATGGGGGTGCTGTTCGCACAGGGGTACCCAAGGGAGAAAATGTCCTCCTTCACTATGCATGCTGTCTCAGTATATTTTTTTCAATCAGCGAACCAGTTGATTATAAATTTATTAACACGATAAGGATGCTTTGTTGTTAAGAACATACACGAACTATACTCGGCAAGAGGACGAGAGGAAAAAAGCAAACCAAATAAAACTGACTCTTTTTTCAACAGCTTTTAAAGGTATTCAATGTGGACAGAAGCGTAAATATTCCGTAGTGAAACATGTCTTTAGCGTTTTCTTCATTCGAGTTACATACCAAATAGCCCTTTGGGAAGAATGTAATAAGTCTTATTCATTATTGTTATTAAACCCAAACAAGAAACCTGGAAATGCAGAATTCTTTATACTTTACTTTGGTTAGTTGATAATAGCGCGCAGCACAAAGCCGCAAAACTAGCAGCTTTTATCGACGGTTTCCCTTGGTCAAGAGTTGTGAATTTTTAAAACTAACTTGCCTTACTCGTAGAAGAAGAAAGAAAAGAAAAAGCTTCATGTATGAAAACTTGCACTTTGGACTGCAAAAATCATCCGATTAGATTGATAAAAAGGATCAACTGAATGTGGTCGTTATAAAACAATGAAAGCATTGGTTGCCAGCGCGGCTCTCTTACCAAAGAAGCGCCAGTCTTGATACCATCACGCTTTCACTCTCGTAACGCAAAGAAAAGAGAAGAAAATTCTCTGTTTGGGAAAATACCACTTAGGAATTAAAAAACGCTCAGCTTAAGTGGTTGGATTGAAAAATGATATTTAAAGGTTAATGTTCTAATTTAGTCTTGCAGCGAGAACAATGGCGGCGCGCTCAGCTTTTAACAAAGAGGTGAAAGTTTTAAAAACTATCTAGTTTTACTAGATAACAAAATAGAAGAAAATATTGGCTTTTCGGAAAATAATTCTTAGGAATGAAGAATAACGCCAAGTTTAATTGCTGGACTAAAAAAAAATCAGTGATATTTGAGGCTTGTCGTTCTACTTTAGTCTTCCAGTGAAAACACTGGAGGCGCGCTCGGCTTCTAACAAAGAGGTGATAGTTTTACTATATAGTTTTACTAGTAACGTAAAACAAAATAGAAGAAAAAATTGACTTTAGGGAAAGTACATCTTAGGAATTAAGAATAACGCTAAGTTAAATTGCTGGAGTGAAAAAAAATCAGTGATATTTGAGGGTTGTCGTTCTACTTTAGTCTTCCAGTGAAAACTCTGGTGGCCCGCGCGGCTTTTAACAAAGAGGTGATAGTTTTAAGTTACTTCACCTTTCTATTTGTCGACAATAGAACATCGCATAATTAAAGCTACTATTGTTGCCGTATGATAATTTTATGTTCTTTCAGTGCGTGGCCACAGCTATTTTTAAGTGATCATTAACTGAGCTTTATCAAAGTTAGATCTCGTTGCTGCGAAAAAATGTCCAAGTACTACGAAGTCGCAAAAATTCTGGCTCTGCGTTCCATTGACGGACGTAAAGAGTATCGGGTGAGATGGAAGGGTTTCGGAAGCAAGGACGATACTTGGGTGCAGGAAGAAAATTGTAACTGCGCAATGAAGAACTATGCGCGATCTTCACTTAAAGGTGAGTAGATTGCAACAGGAACGAATTTTCTTTGCTTGAAGGCTAGTTTGTTCGAGACTAAACGTTTATCTTGGTCTTTTTTCAGGAAAAGAAAAAATTATAGATTATCTCGTCGGTGAGATTGGACAGAAGCTTTCTGTTCGAACTGTCCCAGAAAAGGGATACATTCGACGCACCACCATCCGAGTTCCGATGGATCCAGGGGTCTTTGAAGACCTGTTCAGTGGCCTAAGTCGTGGTATGAGAAGGTTTGATGTGACAGCCGAAGATCTCGGCAACCTTCTGCCAGATGGGTGGTCCGAACGAGCGTTTCGCACCTCTACCGGATGTGTTGTTAGTCGACAGCAGCCCATAACCATCCGGTTCGCCAACCAGAAGAAGTTGCACTACGATCATTCCAAGTGTCATCGCTGCCAATGGTCGGGAATTGGCGAGAAACTCACTCTTTGCCAAGCAAGGAAGACCTGGCCTGTCGATCTGAGTTACTTATTTGTGACTTTTAGCCGTGAAAGGAGCCACCAAGAGCAAAGGAAGGATGGTACGTTGAATATCAGCCGAGGTTACGTTTCACGATGTATTCCAGTGTTATTACATCGTTTGGAAATTACATTATCCTCGTTCGTTTCATTTGATGATCATAGTTTCTAATTTTTGTTTTTGTTTGATTCGCAGAGAAAATCGACCTGTCCTGGATAAGCTCAAGTTCAGAAGGAGAATAGATTGGATGCATGGAATTCAACAAGTCTATCGACAACAAACAAAACGGCTCTTTTAGGAGCCACCAAATAAGACAAAAGTCATTAACCAACTGAATATATAAAACACATATAAAGTGTATTAATACGATTATTACAACATAAACCAAAACAAATTTATATGAGAAACATGCACTGCGGAGTGGGTTTTGTCCAGTAGGCATGATTTAATCATAGATATCCCATATCTGCCCCCTGTGGTAAAGAGTTCTTCTTTGAGATGAAGGGTCATATTGCCTCTCATGTCGCAAAAACCGAGTTGGCCATCTGCTGTCAGATATTTGGATTTTGCAAAAGCATTTGACTCAGTCTGTCCTGGTAAGTTGGTGTCTAAGTTAAAAATGTACGGAATTGGGGATCCCTTGCTCTCATGGTTCTGCTACTATCTTGTTGGAAAAAAACAGAGAGTCCTTGTAAATGGAACTTGCTCTACCTGGTCAGAAGTAGGATCTATGGTCCGACAGGGGTCAATACTTGGACCGATGTTAAATTTATTATTTGTTAATGATATGCCAAACGCAGTATCTAGCGCAAAGATTGCAATGTTTGCTGATGACTCAAAGTGCTATAAGATTATAGAGCAAGAGTCTGATTTTGTAAACTTGTAACAGGATTTAGATGCGCTTTTAGATTGGTTCTTGCGCAATGAAATGCATTTTCAACCTGCCAAATGCAAAAATGTGCGCATATCTAGGAAACGTGTAAGCCCACCAGTTACTTACAGTTTATATGGAATTGACCTGGAGGTGGTTAAATCTGAAAAGGATCTTTATTAGCTGGGGTTATGATTCTCAATGACACCTCTTGGAGGGAGCACATAGTTAAGGCAAATAGGATGTTGGGTTTCCTAAAGAGAAATTGCGCGAGTCTGGTCGATAGTAATGCTCTTTTGCGCCTTTACTGCTCATTAGTACCCTCCCATTTATGTTATTGCTCGCGAGTTTGGGACCCTTAGTCTGCTATAAATCAGTTTATCCTCATCGAGCAGGCACAAAGAAGAGCCACGCGCTTTATTGTAGGTAAAAACAGTAATCTGTGTTAGAAAGATCGTCTGATTAAACTAAATTTACTTCCGCTAAATTATTGGTTAGAATATCTAGATTTAGTTTTCTTTTATAAGTCCTTTAAAGGAGATGTAATTTTTACTCCACACTTTGATAAATATTTTTCCTTTCTAAGGGGGTGTTCTCGTCGAGCCAGCTCTGGACTTTATCTTAGAACAAACAGAACTCGCACCTCAATTTTCCGTGATTTTTTCTTCAACAGAATTACCATTTTGTTGAATAGTATTCCTGATGTCATTAAGTTAGCTACTTCCCTGGACTCCTTTAAGCGCAAGCTCAAATCTTTTTTCTTCTGGCGTCTGCATTATGTTTTTGGTGGAGATAATATTCGCTCGCACAAGATTATTTGTCCAAAATGTAGAAGAGTGAATATAAGAAACGCATGTTCTTGTTATGATACTTTTACTTAATTATATATATGTTTTGCTTTTTAGGTTTATGGGGTTGGGTAAGGTGGTTGAACCTTGTAGGGGATGCTATATACTTTTGTTCTAACACCTGTATATATTCTATATGTACAAATCTTGAAATAAATAAATAAATATATCGTTTAAATACATCATAAAAGCAAACGTAGGACTCTTTTCTTTTATTATTAATTGTTTTGCTTTCTGTGTTTTTCTCGTTTAGATATTTACCGGAAACAGCGACAGTGAAACTACTGTTTACAATAATCTCAAACCGCCAATCACAGCACGATACATAAGGATCTTACCCATAGAATGGTATACAAACATAGCGATGAGAATAGAGATCTACGGTTGTACAGGTAACGTTTCAACTGTAACAAAAATTGGGATTTCGTTTTACATGGTTGGTGCAAAGCTGAAGATACAAGTGCAACATCGCCCGAGAAAATGGAATTATAGCCTGATATAAAGCGAATTTGCATCGATGCTCGATGTAATGATATTTACTTAATCTTTTTCTTGGAAGTGCATGTCATTTTAACCATCCTTCCTGTTCTACAAGACACTACCGACGTCTCTAATGCTAGTAGCTGCAGCATGCGGGACAAGTGTCATTATGAACCTAATATCAGCCGTCCTCATAACAGTGCTCTATAGCTTCGTAATACAGCCTCGATGCGCATGCAAGGTTTCGGACTCTAGGACCCGATGCTTCGAAGTGGACCCGGATTTCTTCTCTTTTCCTTGCACCTAACGAGACGAATAACATCTTTCTCGATAAATTTACCTTCACTAATTTTAGTGTGCAGTACACCTCTTGGAATGGAAAGTGGAGAAATCAAGGATTCACAAATAACCGCCTCTACACAGTGGTCAAACAGTAATGCCCCATCAAGTGCCAGGTTGAATTTAAAGTTCACTGGAGTAAAGAGAGGAGGCTGGTCATCTCATGTACTGGATCTCAGACAATGGCTTCAAGTGGATCTTGGCAGCTATACCACTGTGACTGGTGTGGCAACTCAGGGGAGGAATGGATATCGGCCAGGGCAGTGGGTGACCAAGTACAGGTTGCAATACAGTAATGATGGAGTGAACTTCCATTTCTACAAAGAAAAAGACGACAACTCATTCAAGGTATTTTCAGTCTTATTACTTGCTGCTAATTTTCAGTAACAGGGGTAGGTGATAGCAAGTGCAAAAGCCAGCCACGCTTATGATTTTGTAGAATTTCCAATAGTAGCAAAAAAGTTAAGTTCATTAGAAATTCTAATTACAATTAACTTTTCGGAAGCGACAAACCGCGTTGAGCATTATGGAAACCTCCGAAAAGGTAAAAGCCAATTGAACCTGGGAAAAGGAACGGAAGTAGCGTTAGGGGATCAAAAAAGATCTCGATTAGTTTGCTCACAACTCAGAAAAGAATCAGCCGCCAACCCTAGAAATGAAGTGAACTATGGAAGTAAGGATGTATATTTGACGATCCAACCAATTATAATGTGTCAGAAGCAGGAAAAGCAATCGGCATAAAAAGTTCTCCATTGAAATAGAATTCAGATTCGTGACCAGTTAAGCTTTCGCTTTTTTTAGAATCGATCGAAGAAAATTGCTTTCATCTTCTGAAGAATCATCTGTTGTAGCAGACTCCTCGGTTCTGAAGTGAGGTTCAATAAGGCAATAAGGAACTTTTTCCGTGTTTACATGCTCTCATCTAAACACGAAGGGGGTTGGAGAGTTTGAGAGAGTTATCGGAGAAAGTTATCTTTATTGTTGTTGATGTTCAAAAACAGTTGTACATGAGTGATAACGAGTGCGAAAAGCAACTACGGGTATGATATTATGTGAATTATCCTTACCCCCTCCACCCCTAGTGTTTATGTTACAGTATGTAAACACGGACAACGTACCCTATTGCTTTCATAAAATTTTTCTCTCCAATAACACGACAAATGCTATTTATTTACTTCTTTATTGATATAGACTTTCTCAATACATGCACTGCATGCTGGACAGTATTATTTCCTACTAGCCAATAAAATCGCGCATTTGAAAACACTTAAACCGATCAAAACTTGCGTTTTAAAAATCAAAGTGAAATTGAAGTTCGTAGCAAGCGCCATGAAATAAAAAGATTTCAGTTTTGAATCCTCGTAAATTTTGACAGAAAAATTCTGCAATGTTTAGAGTATACGATCCCTTAGGGAGGAGGACGAGGAGATGTTTGATCAAGCTGGAAGTGAATGAATTTAGCAGCCGAAAAACATGGTTTAGAAGCTGAATCGCTTATCGCGCTTTGTGAAGTTCTGCTGGTTAATAAAGTTTTGGTGTCCCCGCATTCTGAATGGGAAAGTTAAAGATTATCTTTGCCAATGTGAGAGTAGTTTTTAACGGTGAGACCGTCTCTCCATGAGAAAACTACATTTTTGGAAAAATTGGAAAGTCAAAACACGGCAACCGATCAGGTGGGGGATGTTTGCTTTTAGAGAATGCAGATATATATATATATATATATATATATATATATATATATATATAGCTCTTTGGCATACAAAGCTTTGCTTTCATGTCCAAATTGAGCACTCTAACTAGGATGAGTCATTGCTCTGCAATTGCGCATGCTCGCTAGTGTACTCTAGTTTGAGCACTCTGGCATGGCTTAGACGATACCACAAAGGTTGGATCGTTTGGGGTGACCATATTGGTTCTCCTCCATCCTAGCATTAGCACTGCACTGATGAGGCCCAGAAGGCCGAAACAGTACTGTCTGCAGTTAGATATAGCTCTTTGGCATACAAAGCTTTGCTTTCATGTCCAAATTGAGCACTCTAACTAGGATGAGTCATTGCTCTGCAATTGCGCATGCTCGCTAGTGTACTCTAGTTTGAGCACTCTGGCATGGCTTAGACGATACCACAAAGGTTGGATCGTTTGGGGTGACCATATTGGTTCTCCTCCATCCTAGCATTAGCACTGCACTGATGAGGCCCAGAAGGCCGAAACAGTACTGTCTGCAGTTAGATATAGCTCTTTGGCATACAAAGCTTTGCTTTCATGTCCAAATTGAGCACTCTAACTAGGATGAGTCATTGCTCTGCAATTGCGCATGCTCGCTAGTGTACTCTANTATATATATATATATAGAAAGTTTAAAAATTGCGAGGATGGACAACTTCTGACGTCAAACATATAAAAAATTTTAATAAAAAAACGTTTCGGTCCGAGACCTTCTTCATTTATTTACAACTTTTGAAATGAAAAAGAGAGCATTACATAAGATCGAAGTGCTAATAATTACGTAATTACCGATTACGACTAATGAACTGGTGCTAAAAAAAGATAACAAAAAAACCTAATTACAATGGACAAAATACAAGAAACAAACCCTAAAAACTAGGAGATAAGAATACTAAACATGTTAAAAGGAGTGGCGTAACCAATTGCAAAGAAGCAGTGCGCATTTTGAGGACACAATTTTTTCAAATACGTACCGACCTTTTCTGGGGAATAACATTTATAATTCTTTCTAACACATAAATAGATGATTGCCAAAAGAACCGGAATGACTTAGGGCCACAATTACGAGGAAAATCCTCCACAAACATAGCAATTTTTTAGCGAGGGATCGATGACAAAGAAAACAGAAGTTATTCAAACCAAAGAAGGTGTGTTTTCACTAGGACAAGTTTGACTAGAGGAAGTCGGAAAAGACCGGAAGTAAAGTGAAACAGCTCTCCTAAGGTTAGCGAGTTTAAAATGCAAGCTGTTTTCACAAGAAAAAACAAGGGATTATCTCGCCTTTATGACCGGAAATTCCCCCAAAGTTATACTACCTCGCGAGATGGTATAACTCGTCCTGATAAATGCTGCAGCCAATCACAATGCCCGTAGTGACAGATGCCTGCCTTACCGTGAACTGGCAAATATTTTCCAGACGCTTGTGCTCACCACGTGGTTCACTTTGCAAACCACGCTTTCGAAATGGCAGACGAATTCACTTGTAATAGAACTGTGGAGGTTTCTAGAATGGTTAGTCATGGTGACTCATTAAGAATGCTTAATGAAACTTTCTAGAACCCTTAGTCAGCAATAGCGATGTAATGATACCAAAAATAGTTGTATTACAGATCCCTGGAATATTCTAGAACATTTTGTAAAAGATATATAAAGAGTCGCAATCGGTTGAAGTTAGCCTTTCTCTTAGAGCAGAGCCAGTGTATTGTGTAACAGTGTGTTGTCGCGCAGTGTCAATAGAGTTAGTGCTGTCGCGAAGAGCTAGAGAAGATAGTGTTATTACAAAGCCGGACTGGAGGGGATTGTTGGAACTATTTACTGTTACTGAAATCGTCAACCACGTGGAAGGCTACGTTGAGGAAAATTTTGTGGACATCGATAAGTTACTAGAAGGATCTTTGAAGAGAAGCGTGAGTTATGCAGTAGTGCATAGAGATTATAGTTTTACAGAGGGCTCTAGGATAAGAGGATAGTTATTGTAATGGTTATTAGTATCGCTCCGTAGTAAGATTATTACGTCAGTCAATAAAGTAGTTGAGTTGGTACGAGTTGTATCTTTCTGTCGGTTGTGCAAATACACTCAGAGAAAGCTTTCGCCGAAACATTTATAATGTAAACTTAAGGTAACTTAAAAGGTTTCCGATCGAGCTTTGATACATTTTTTGAGTAAGTCACTGGCACCTGTCAATTGTGACACCTGTCAATTGAAGAGGAAAAAAGCGCATGTACGCTTTTAACTAAACAACAGTACTAGTATGACAAACACACACGAGTTCAATGAACGTGCGACGATCTTCTCGTAAACGAAAGCACTCGGACATCTTACGGAAAGTATTTTTTGTTCCCAACGACGATTAATCTTCGAGGATTACCTATGTTCCGTTTTAAAATGTCACGGAAAGTCAAATTGTAAGTGAATGTAAATGTGTGGTTTGGAGTTATCAGTCTGTTTGCTTGTTTTCTACAACGGTGTGTGTAAAGCTGTTTTTCTTCCGTCGAAAAGCTGAAGTCAATGAGACTCTTTCCAGCTAGATACTAGGGCATTTAATGGGACCTTTATTTATCGAATTCCTTCGGTTTATTGTGAAATTTACGGTAGAAATGTCCACTAGGAGATCTTACGCATAGTATTTTTTATTTCCAACGACGATTAATCTTCGAGGATTTACCTCTGTTCCGTTTTAAAATGTCAAGGAAAATCAAATTGTAAGTGAATGCAAATGTGTGTTTTGGAGTTGTCAGTCTGTTTGCTTGTTTTCTACAACGGTGTGTGTAAAGCTGTTTTTCTTCCGTCGAAAAGCTGAAGTCTATGAGACTCTTTCCAGCTAGACACAAGAGGATTTAATGCGACCTTTATTCATCGAATTCCTTCGGTTTATTGTGAAATTTACGGTAAAAATGTCCAAATTCAAGGGACTTGCAAAGAATAGGCGAAAGTGTATTTATAGGCCAGAGGAACTTAAAACTGACTTCGCTCAACATATCACAAACGAACAAATTGTGTGGAAGAACTCAGAATAAATGAGAGTCACATTCATTAACGTAATTGTTAACTACAACTACCTCTCGTTTTGACTTTCTGAGTTACTATTTGTGAAGGATTCTTAAATAAACTGTTTTATGGCCGCGTTTCAATCTTTTAAAAAACAAAACTAGTACCACAAAATTTATTTCGAAATCAATTTTTGCGGAAAGCAAAAGTGATTTGAGAGCGAGAGAGAAGAAAGAATTAATGTTGCCTACCGCCAAAAAGTCGTGACCAACGTTTTTGCTTATGCAGTCTGCTCAGCCGGCAAAATGAGATATATTTGTGAAAAATTGCAACGATGCTTGAGATGTTCTGCAAAGTGACTCAAGCAGGATCGCAGGATTTATAGAATACTGCCCACTTAAGAGCTTAGAAAAAAAAATAAAGGTTTGGACGGTACGCGTTTTCGTGAACATTTTGTAGTAAGCATGATAAAGAGTGTCTTGTAGAGGATATCATTGCAGTACTCAAATTTTGTTATCTTTACTTGAGCTCCATCCATGAGGTCGTCCAGCCCATATTCAATGAGGCAGACTTGGTCTCGGGGGAGAAAGAAATAGCTAAGACCCAAATCAAAATTTGCCAATTTTCTCCATCTTGATATTTTTTTTTTTTTACTTTGCGAGCATTGCAAAAGCTTTGGGCTTGAAATGTTTTCAAATTGTGCAAACACCAAAGGTGTGACGTTACAAATGCGTTTACGTATTTTCCGACCAGTTGGCCAATGGGAGCGCGCGCACTATCTCGGTTATTTTATAAAAGTCATTGTAAAGCTAGTTGACACAATGCCTTTTGATACAGTAAAGAGAAGATGCTTTTCTTTTCAGCTTTTTGATGGTAATCAAAACACCGACAGCATTGTATATCATAAGTTGGCGAGGCAAATTACGGCACGTTACATCCGGTTCATTCCGGTGGAATGGCGAAATCATATCTCTATGAGAGTGGAAATCTATGGCTGTGAAGGTATCATATCGAGGTCTATCTCAATTGCTATTTCAGTAGTTGTATAAATTTTTTCGTATAAACTTAAACTTTTAAAGTGTTATTCACATCAGCTTTTACAAAATAATTCATGATATAAACTCAATGAGACAACATTAAAGCTGAAACATTCTTGATAAAAGATATTGGCTAACAATATACCCCTAGTTGCATATTACATGTAGTTTGAAATTAGAACAAATACTTGAATAAACCAATGCATGAAGGGCAGCTCTTAAACACCACGCATCTTTTGTTGCTTCTGTCAAGTCCCTATTAAGGTGGCTGAGCACAGTTTTGATAGGTTTTGAGTGTGTCATTCGCTAAGTACCTTTACGGCGGAAGTGAAAGTGCTGATCTTCTTGTCGTGAAGAATGTGAGGTTCGACCTGTTTGTTGTTGTTTCCGTTGTTTTCGGTTTCGGTTGGAGAAACTGAGTGTCGTTTGCAAAGTTCTCTTCTGGCTGCCTCGTTCTGAGATTGCTTTGCTCTTCGCGGGTTTTACCCGGCGCGAGAGGTAAAACACGTAGAAAGACTTTGCGATGTTTGTTTCTGTGACTTAAAACCCGCGCCGTCACGCGAACTGCCATTGGCCGCACGCAAACTGTGTTCAACTACCTTAAGCTCGTTCCCTAAAAGGCTTTCCATCGAGTCAACTCTCAGTAAACTCGCACTTCGTCCAAAAGGCAAGAAAATAGAGGACTAAGATATCTAAGAAATCAACTACAGCAAATCGAAGTTTGGCTGGTTCATCCCATCAAGGAGATTCAGCAACCCATTCCTATTTTCTTCTTCTTCCTCTGCTTCTTTTCTCTTATTGTCCTTTTATTGACAAAAAAAAAAAAGGATGCTTTGCACCGCTTGGTATGGAGGATGGAACAATCACTGATATCCAGGTCAGTTCTTCTTCGCGACTGGATGACAATCATTCACCAAGTCAGGCCAGATTGAATTTTAAAGAAGAAAGAAATATGGCTGGTGGATGGTCAGCTCAGTTAAACGATAAAAACCAATGGCTACAAGTCGATCTTGGCAGTTACACTAGTGTGACGCGTGTGGCGACTCAAGGGTTGAATGCCAAGGACGAGTGGGTGACCAAGTACAAATTACAGTACAGTGACGATGGAAAAAACTACCCGTATTACAGGAAACAGGATGACGACAAATGGACGGTATGTCTAAGTTAGATTTTCCATCCGTGTGGTAGACAAGAGTAACATCCAAAGGTTACAACTTTTTCAACCATTTTCTTTCCAAAATTTGAAATTATTTGGAAAAATTCGTAGTGATATTAATTACTTTCTTGAAATTAAAAGGTAAGGGCCGTATATGTCATTTTAAAGGCCCTCCAAAAATTGACATCATCCATGTTACTCATACAATTTACAGGTGCTGAATGGTAATAAAGGAAGTGATACCATTGTATATAACAATCTGAATCCTCCAATCACAGCACGGTTTATACGGTTTATACCAACCGGTTGGCACAATAAAATCTCCATGAGAACAGAGATCTATGGCTGTCCAGGTATGGCAATTATAAATGTGGAGTTTAGAATTTAGTGGCCAAAAAATGTAAGAAATCAATCAGCTAGTTTGACTGCGAAGCGTAATAGAACTTCAGTTAGAGACCGTTGTGAAATTTTAGGGCTGGTCTTTCAGCCACAAAAATAATCTTCTAATATACCAGCAAGTTAGAGGGGCCTTAGCGTCGCAGCATCATTTTTCGTACATCATTATCAGGGACTTTTGAGAGAAGTAGATAAACGGTACGATGAGATGAATGCGTGGGTCATAACTTTGGTATTTTATTGAAGTCATTTTGACTAAAATCAACCAATCCTTTGAGTGAGCACAACAGTTTATCACAAGGAGCTACTTTAGAAGAAAGATGATTAGTGTGTCGTGTAAAGTTTGGATAGTATCTGCATCTGACACACATCTCTCAACAACAAATGCAGCATGTATGACTGCCCTTGGAATGGAAAGTCAGGCAATAGAAGATGCTCAGATTAGTGCTTCTTCGCAACTGGATGGTAGCCATTCTGCAATACAGGGAAGACTGCACCTTAAGAGAAATGGTCAAAAGCAGGGTGGCTGGTCGGCACTTACAAATGATCTTAATCAGTGGTTACAAGTGGATCTGAATACTTTTGCACGGGTAACGGTAATAGCGACTCAGGGGAGACATGGATCCGAAGAATGGGTCACCAAATACAATTTGCAGTACAGCGATGATGGTGTAACCTTCACTCTCTACAAGGAATCTGACAGCAGCTCAGAAAAGGTGTGTTAACAATTTCACAGGTAAAACTTCGCTTGATAGCGTTACCTTATAGGGTTTACTTCTAGAAATAAATAATTAAAAAGCAAATCGTTTAAAAACAGATTCAAGGATCTCACCTTAGCTCAATACAATACGAGTAATCTCTTCCCTCATCTTATGAATTCGGCACCACCGTTGTGTGCATTCAAGCGACTTCAAAGGAGAAATAGATGAAACAATGCTTGAATCTTAGAATACTTCTTGAAAATCTGTCAGCTTTCTACTTAGGTGTTTGACGGAAATCAAGATTCAGATACTGTCGTGTACAACAAGCTGACTTCACCAATAACAGCTCGGTACATACGGCTGATACCAATGATTTGGAAACACCGCATCTCGATGAGGATGGAATTGTATGGCTGCCCAGGTAGTTTGAAATCCTTATGTTAGTGACTGACAAATTTTTCGAACTTAATTGGCCATTAGTAAACCGATTTTGAGCATTAAAAAAGTAGGTCAGGCGTTATGCTGATGACTGGGCAGTGTAAAAGGGGCAGTTTAAGCATCACACCTGTGTTATGTCGTTCACAGGTACTATTTGGCGAAAAAAGCCGACTGTTATGTTTTCACTCGCAAATAGATTAAAACAATGGGTGTTTTGTTTCTAATTGTTTTTCACAGTTCTGATGAATTGGTAACAGAAGTTTGTGTCGCCCAAATGTGTGTTAATCATATTCGTGGTTAAGTGATCTAGTTAAGACTCCCGCTTCGCAATCATCTAAATTCCCTAAAGCGCTTGTATTATTACAGAAAAAATTGAGGTGTAGTTGATTCTACTACCATTAGTCTTAGGAGGGTTTTCTGAAAACTTCGTTTTCGATTTTTTTATCTAGGATGTGTGTCACCGTATGGCATGGAAAATCGCAAAATTTCTGATTCCCAAATTAAGTCGTCTTCACAACTGGACGAAAATCATTCTGCAAAGCATTCCAGGTTGCATTTAAAGGCAAACAGAGAAAATGAAGGAAGCTGGTCAGCGCTTAGAAATGACGTAAACCAATGGCTTCAGGTGGACCTCGGTAGTTACATCCGAGTGACGGGCATAGCTACTCAGGGAAGGAATGGGCACAATGAGTGGGTGACAAAGTTCAGGCTGCAATACGGCGAAGATGAAGATGTCTTTCATTTCTTTGAGGATCCAGGCGATTTTGCTGCAAGGGTATGCATCATGAATCGGTTTTCCCAGATTTCACTCATCCCTGTTATCAACGTCTTTCCAGGCTATTTCAACATTCCATTGTTAACTTTGAAGGAATCCAGGGCAAAGACATAGTATTCTCGGCAATTTTTGTTTCCTTTTTAACTCTTTTCGGGAATAAGAATCTCAGATCAATTCTTTTATGTCTAACTGGGAACACATAAAACTTGACGCGCTCTTTAGCTCTTCCCGTTCATGAGATATGAAGGTTAGGTATCCCTAAAATATTTCGTGGTCACGTAGACCTACAAAAGTCCACCAAGTGGTAGAATGCTCTTTTAAGAATGTTGTTCATGTAAACTGAACTCGTGGGGACTCCATGCAGTTCATGGCTCGTTTTTGGCATTTTTCTTCTTTTGCGCTGAGAAAAATTAATGCCAAAGGAGACTTTGTTCTATAAGTCGTTTGTTTTTTTGTATCAAGGTTTTCAAAGGAAATACAGACAGCGACACTGTTGTGTACAACGCACTGACTCCACCAATCATAACGCGTTATATTCGATTTAAACCTGCTGAGTGGCACAAACGAATATCAATGAGGATCGAGATCTATGGCTGTCCAGGTATCTAGAATAATCTCACTGTTGTTGTGGTGACGTATTAAATAGCGGGCTTGGCGTGGGGGACTAGTGGCTAGGTTGCAGGTTGGGCAGGCCAGTCGGATGCTCTAGCGCCTTGGCTGCGACTGCGATTGCAGCCCCTGGTCCCCTTGGGCACCTGACCTCCATTTGCGACTTGGGCGTTTAATGTGATTACAGTACACTACAGTAACAGGCGGCTATTATCTACATGTATGAAACAATGGCATCTATTTTTAACTCTCAACCTTTATCTTTTGTCCAACTAATTGAGGTTGTACAAATCCTCTTGGAATGGCAGTTGGATCAATATCTGATATTCAGATAACAGCATCATCACAACTGGATGGCAATCACTCCGCATCACAGGCCAGGTTACATTTCCAAGCCGATGGTTACAAAGTTGGGGGTTGGTCAGCTCTCACAAATGACAGTAACCAATGGCTTCAAGTGGATTTTGGTAGGTACACAAAAGTGACGCGCTTGGCAACTCAGGGGATGGATGGCTACAATCAGTGGGTGACCAAATACATGTTACAATACAGTGATGATGGAATAAACTTTTACCTCTACAAGGAAGCCACATCCAGTTCTGCAAAGGTACCAGATATCGTAAGCTTTTATTTTCACTGCTGATTTACAGACTTTTGCCAACAGATATCGTACGGATGACGCTCGCTGTTCTTTCATCAAAAAATGCAGTACCGAGAAGTGTTTTGAAAAAAGAGAAATGTGTCCGAGTAAGAAAGATAACCTTCTATTCATCCATCCATTCCCCTTTCCCTCCCACCCTCCCTTCCTCAATCTATTTAATGCTCTTTCCCTCCTACCCTTCCACTCACTCCATCCATTCCATTTCCCTCCCACTTTTCTCTTCCTCCGTACATCAATCCATAAACGTCTCCCTTCATTTATCCTTCCATTGATCTATCCATTCATCCTTCCAGTCATCCAACCTTCCGTCCATTCATTCGTTCAGTCTATCGATCTATCATCCATGCACTGCAACCTGATAAGTGATGCTCAGTCAATTGTTGAGCTATACTTAAATTATTGTAGCATTGTATGGGATGACATCAGTGGCCGCCTCTCATGATGTTTAAAACTATGAATGATATGACCCAAGCCTAGGTAAGAGATATCTCCTCGATGTAGTGCGCTATTAGTTACCTTTTTCTCCTCTTTCTTTCTAGTTATTAGAACGATATTTATAGTGCATTATTAATATTTAATTGCAGTATTGGGTAAGAGGTGGGTTTTTCTACGTTTTATGGGGTTGGGTTTAGGCGGGTGAACCCAGTAGGGGACTACGTGTCATATTGTTCTCCCGCCTGTACACTGTACGAATCTTAAAATAAATAAATAAATAAATGAATAAATAAATAAATAATATCGTGAAATCGGTGTATAATCAGTTAGAACCTCCAGTGGGAATCTAGCTTTACCAGTTGCTAAAACATACTACTACCGGACAAGTTTTGGGACCAAAATTTTGGACACTGGGACACTGGGAAAATTTTGTCCAAAATTTTGGACACTGGGAGCAAAATTTTGTCAGTAATGCGTTATCAAACGAAATGAAAGATAAAAGGTAACTTTAGACTTTTAAGATCAAAATAAGCTTTCTTTGGTTTAAGTTACCGCGATTAAATGAAGTTTTCTATCCATTTGTCTATTCCTTCAACCATCTATGGATTCAGCAGATTTGCTAAATCCACCCATCTATCCATATATCCTTCCATACATTCGCCCAATCCATCCATGAATGTCTCCATCCGTTCACAGATACCTTCATCTTTCTCTCTCTCCATCCACTAATTCCTTAATCCATCCTTCCTTCCTTTCCATCCATTTTCTCAATCTATCGATCCACTGTTTATCTGTCGATTGATCTCACCATTCACGCATCAGAACTCATGTGTTAATCTTCTCAATATCAGCCGGACTCCAAGTCAGATTGAGCGAACCTAAGTAGTTTTAAAAATTTATCCCAATTTTGTATTTCTGTGTCTATTGTCTAGGTGTTCGATGGAAATAAAGATCAAAAGACTGTTGTTTATAACGTATTGAGCCCACCAATAACCACACGCTACTTTCGACTGAAGCCGGTGGCCTGGAACGACCACATATCGATGAGAATGGAGATCTACGGCTGTCCAGGTACATCTCCCTCTTTAAATTCCATCGTAAATTAACTATTCTATCATTCATTTTTCCAGAAAAAAGTGTCCTAGAAGACAGATAACGACTTATTAGCCATCATTGTAAAGTGTTTAGTCTTAATTCGTGCAAATTTCAGTAAAGAAAGCAAAAGTATCACGCCGCGCTGAAACCTGAACTGTACGACGGGAAATACACCTTTCACTTTCTTGTCCTTTTTCAATACAAACAGGTTGTGCAGCACCCCTTGGCATGGATAGCGGAGCAATCACCGATGCACAGATAAGTGCTTCTTCACAGTGGGATGATAACCATGCGGCCAGGCAAGGAAGGTTGCATTATAAGAGAGTTTTTGGCACCTCCGGTAGCTGGTCATCACGTACAAATGATTTAAAGCAATGGTTTCAAGTGGATCTTGGTCAATACACTACAATAAATGGTATAGCTACCCAAGGCAGAAATCATCCTCGGATAGACCAGTACGTGACAGCATACAAGTTACAGTATAGTGACGATGGAGTATCTTTTCGCTTTTACAAGGAGACGCCACTTGAAGCTGGGACGGTATACCTTTATAGTCACATTGATTCTATAGGAAAATTCATTACCTGACGAGGGAATTCCGCGTTAAATTGCACGCGAAAACGGATATCGCATGAATCGCGAAGAGATGAGTGCGATATCGGTTTTCAAGTGCAATTTAACGCGGAATTCACGAGTCAGGTAATGAATTTTCCTTGAATTGCTTAACTGAATGAAAATAAGAAAACAAGAAATTAAGTCAGCAATATTATTTTTTGTTTTTATCCCAAGCGCGCGCTCTAGAAAGTCATTTCAAAGCCAACTGTCAGAAGTGTTATATGTTAGCAAATAGAAAGCAAGGTTAGTGGTACACGTTTGAACCTTCGATAATTTTATTTGTACCTCGCGCTTGATTTTACATTAATTTTCGAACTTTTTAAACAAGATCACACACTTTAAAAATAATCTGGATTTATAAGCCGTTTATAGTTAACATCTTTTTTCAAAATTCCAAATAATTTGCTCAAGAAGGAAAATAATTTACACCTTTTACCTCTTTGGTGGCAAACTGAGAGAAATGAAGTGTGCATGCGAAACTGATTTCAAGTGCAGTACCATCGCGAGTAATATAAGGTAAGTGCCTTGAAGTGTAAATGCGTGTATTGAACGATACTTTATTCCTTTGAAAACAAAGAAGTGTTTCATGTAAAGTCCAAAAACTTTAATCTTTTTATTTGTAGAAATTCACACAGGCGACTGCCATTAGCTGAATCGTTGGGATAAGCATTCCACTGAAAGTTGATGGAAATATTCACTAGTTACATTGGTGAACGATACATTGAACGATACATTGGTGAACAATCCACCTAGAACTCTTGGTGCTAGATCATCAGTACCGTTATTCATTAATGTTGTGTTATTGCCAACTACTGATGGAAGTGCAAGGCTGTTGACAAAAATTTCTCTCAAAGCTTCAGTGCGTGGACCGTCGCCGGCGTTGTCAGCTGTGACAGTCGTAGTGGTACGACTGAAAACCCAGCCAACTTGCTTGACATCGTTTGTTGTTTTCTAAAAAGATTATGGCTGCAGATGGATGTTGAACCCGGGTTGGCGTGACCTGTTAGCTCGGAGATTGTTTTTTCTGGGCCGTGTTCACAGGATTTGCTCGCTTTCGGGTTGTCGCGAGCGAAAGAGGTTTCCATGCCTCTCCGCAAGAATTTGAAGTTCACTTCAAAGCAAGGAAGAACCTCAGGCTCACTTTGAAAACGCTTTGTTTGTTTTCGCTCTTTAGAATGTGACAATGGTTTTGAAAACATTTTAAATTGACTTAGAAACCAAACTCTGTGTAACACTTTGACGATAGTTGCTGTGCTTAGTGACGTAGATGCGAAACAATTTCACTTAGCCTCGTTTTCAACTCGCAATTCCACGCTAAATACCTGGCTTCGTTAACCAATCAGAATGCGAGATTTTACTCAATGATGCGATTTTATTTTTAAGACATCGTTAATGATCAGAAATAAACATTAAATTTAGAAATTTTTAGGGAATAGACAAACTAACGGAGAACGGGTTGTTCAAAGTAGGTTTAAGAGAAATTAACCCAGGGTTACTGCGAAATATGATTTGAAAAGTGAAAGCTTTAAAAGAAATTTCAGTCAAATTTTTTTGTCTACAATTTGAAAATTGGATGGTCAGAAAAGAATAGAGAAAACTATCCTCAAAAGGCCTTCGAACAAAGGAATAAAGAAACCCCTGATAAAAATTTAACCTTTGGTTATCGTTAATCGGTCCTCGAACAACTGGGTCTTGGAAGCTTTATTGTTTGGGAGGGAGGGAGGGAGGAGGCTGAGGCCTTTAGCAATGTACTGATGAACAGCTCACTTATCACCTATCTCAATAATTTTAAATAGGTCTTTCGTGGAAATAAAGACAGAGAGACTGTCGTCTATAACGAAATACGCCAGCCAATCAGAGCACGTTATATACGAATTAGACCAGTGGATTGGAACCAACACATATCCATGAGGATTGAGATCTATGGCTGTCCAGGTAATTCCCATAATCCTTATTATTATCATTATTATTATTATTATTATTATTATTATTATTATGTTTTGTTATCATCACAATGATCACTGTCACTATCATTATCACTATTGTCGTTGACATCATCATTAGGAAGGACTGCTCGTAGTCTATTATTACCAGGTTATGCATTTGTTTACATTTATATCTCAGTTGTACAAACAGTATTGTAACTGCTATTTAAGAAAGTGTTAAAAATTACCTGAACGGTGAAGGTGAGTTCACAAAATTTGCATAAATGACCTGTTGTCATCGTAACGTTGACAAAGATAAGTTTTAATTTGATGTGGCGATTAAGTCATCTTTGAAAACTCATTTTGTTCGTAAACTAAACATTTTTAAAATTTGCAAGTCCCGTTGTGCAATAGCTCGTTAGAAAATAACTACCCTCTAAAGGTATGGCCTCAACTTTGAATTTGATAGGTTAAGTGGGCAGTATAGCATGAAAGAGCACTTTGAATGCGATTCCAAATGATAACACTAAATTTTATGGATTGTGATACTACTACCAAGCATTTTTCAACCTTTTTGTGCCTATAACTGTGACTTGTTTCCTTCGACACACTTAGGCTGTGTTGCTCCCCTCGGCATGGAAAGTAAATCAATCTCTGATGCACAAATATCTGCCTCCTCACACCTGGATGATGATCATGCTCCACAGCAGGCCAGGTTGCACATTCAAGCAGCAATGAATGATAAAAGTGGGGGTTGGTCTGCCCGCAAGAACGATCTTTATCAATGGCTTCAAGTGGACCTTGGAAGTAAAGCAATTGTGACGCGTATAGCAACACAGGGAATAGATGGACTGGATGAGTGGGTGACCAAATACAGAATACAATTTAGCTATTCTGGGATTAACTTCCAATTTTACAAGAAAGCAGAACACAGTTCTGCACAGGTATGCGCTTACCGCTGTATTCTGACTGTGAAGTTAGGATAAATTGACACTATTTAATATTTACTTTACGACGTTACAGATTGATCAATCTGACGCCTGTGTAAGTAAATGAGAAAACTTTTAGCCAAGTTTTGCTAATTTGAACATTCAAAACAAATGTTTGAGGGAAGGTTGGGTGTCTTAATGAGCTGTTAGGTGGGAGAGTGAATTTGTAAGCGGTGTAAGTTCTAAGTTCTAAGTTCAGTTAAAATTGACTTACCGAGAATACCAAAGCAAACCAAGTGCTAACTACGTTTATTTTTTAAACTTGCTTTTAAAGGTTTTCGACGGAAATGAAGACAGTTCAACAGTTGTAGTTAACAAACTGACCGACGAAATCAAAGCGCGTTTCATACGGTTATTGCCAATAGAGTGGTACAAACACATATCAATGAGAATTGAGATTTATGGATGCCCAGGTATAATCAATTATTTCCGACGACCTTGTCTATCATGTTTGAAAAGTGCCTTCTTTAGTAACATGACAACGGACATTTGGAAAAACAGTGGGTTTAGAAGAATCTTAGCAATGACTTGTGGTAAGGTTCTTCAACTGTGATAAGTAAAAAAGATGCAGCTTTAGGTCTATCCAGCCAAACGCGTGATCATTTCCATCCAAGAACTGTTTCTTTTTTTACCTGATAATGAAAAAGGCCGTGGCAATACGTTTAAGTCTTCTAGATTGAAAACAAAAGTTAAATTAGATTACTTTCAGTGTTTACGATCGTTAATCTTTTAAATCAGGTCTGACCAATTCCTCAAAGGAAACTGCATTTACTTCCTGATCCTTGTCTTGTATCTCCTAGACTGCATTGCACCTCTTGGTATGGAAAGGGGAAACATCACTGACTCCAGGATAGCTACATCCTCGATTTTGAATGACGAAAGCCGTGCAAGTCAGGCCAGGTTAAATCATAAGGCGGATGGTGGCTTAGGGGGAGGTTGGTCATCTCGCACGAATGATGCTAAACAATGGCTTCAAGTGGATCTTGGTATTTACACAAGAGTGACACGTGTAGCCACTCAAGGAAGGAATGGGTACGACCAGTGGGTAACCAAGTATAAGGTGGAGTACAGTGAGGATGGCCAAAGCTTTCAGCTTTACAAACGATCAAATGCCAGCATAGGAAGGGTATGTTAAGAACGGTCATCTGAAACTGAAATAAGGTGATCTTCCTAATGACTTCAGTAGCTAAGCCTCGGAAAAAGTGCAGGTAAAGGAAACGAATATTCTATTTCTACTCCTTAACAGTGACAAAAGTTAATGAAATAAACCCAGCTTCATGATTACGCTTTTTATAATTCATATCAAGAACACTCCTTTTCTGTGACTAATTTTTCATCCGGTGTTACCATAGGGTGCCAATATTAGGGGTTCTTGCATGCAATATAATGACATTTAACTTTATCATTGTCTTAAAGATTTTTACTGGAAATCGAAACAGCGATGCAGTGGTTTACAACAGTATGAGCCCACCAATCACAACAAGGTTTATACGGCTTATACCAGTGGAGTGGCACAATCATATCTCAATGAGAATAGAGATCTATGGCTGTCCAGGTGCTTTAAAAGAACATTACCAATGATCTTCTCTAAATAGGTTTATTTAATTATAAGAAACGCTTACATTTTACAGATGCCGGTCCTTACATGATGAAATGAAACAATCGAAGCCGTTCAGCCAACTAAGCTGAATCCTGTTCTTGAATCATGTGGTTACAAGAATGTGTTGCCGCAGTGAAAGGACCAAAATAGTTTATTTTTAAAAAGAATCTTTCATTTCAAACACAGGATGCGCTACAGCACTTGGTATGGAGAATAGAGAAATACCTGATGCTAACATAAGTGTATCTTCACAACTGGACGGGGACCATGGCGCGAAGGAGGCAAGGTTAAACTCGAAAGCAGACGGGGACAAGGGAGGGGGATGGTCAGCCTTGAACAATAACTTCAATCAGTGGCTTCAAGTGGATATTGGTGGCAACTCTCGAGTAACAGGTGTTGCGACTCAGGGGATGAATGGAAATGACCAGTCGGTGTCCAGATAACGGATACAGTATAGCAGTGACGGAGTGACTTTTGAATTTTACAATGCAACGCAAGACAGTTCAGCAAAGGTATGATAATGCTGAAGAGAGCAAAAAGGTTAGCTGCTAGACCTTTTTTTCACTCAAGTGCTAATTTTAAGCGTAACAGTTTATTGTAGGGCCGCAAAATGCGAAAAAAAAACCATTAGATCCCTTCTGTGGGCCTCAGTTATGCACCTGGACCCAGTTGTTTAAAGAGCGGATAAATTGCTATCCAGTGGATAGGTGATATCAAAGCCTTCCGCGTTATCCACTGGATTAAGATATATCCAGTGGATAGCGTTATCCATCCTTCGAAAAACCAGGCCGGAAAGTTACCCAACAAACTAATCATTTTTTGGCTTCTGCTAAATCCTTTACTATCTCAACATCAGGTATTCGATGGAAATCAGAACAGTGATACGGTTGTAAAAAACATGCTAAGTCCACCAATAGCCGCACGTTACATTCGCCTGGTGCCTGTTGAGTGGCACAATCACATATCGATGAGGGTGGAAATCTACGGCTGTTTAGGTATAGTAACTTCCCTGTATCGGTGAATGAAGACGCTTCTGCCCATAGAGAGATATTGGGTGCAATACCTGCGAGGGTACACAATGGAAAACTAATCGGCTTAACAATATCAGGATGCTCCTAAAAGTGATTGATTTAAAACCACAATTATGATCTCAGACTAATTTAATATTTATTACAATGTCAATCCATTAATTTTTTGTAATTGCTTTCACATTCTCCCACAATTTGATTGGCTATAATGCACAAGCCTTGGCAGGATGGTTTTTCTGTTTTAGTTTTTCATTGAACCACGGATAAATGGCACAGCTCTTATAGCCAGTTAGATTGCAAGGATTTTAAAAACGAGCAAAATCATCTCATTCTTCCCTATAAACCTCAGCTTGTTTTTGCGATTAGCAAAGTTTGCAAATTAGCAATCTAATCTAATCAGTTTAATTTTGTCCTTTCGGTATCATGTTGTTACCACGAGTTCTGGTTTCAATTTTTTAATAAGAGAAAAACCTAAAACCTGAATCTTAAATTTTCTTTGACCCTCTAGCGGATACCGACTCGCCAACTGTGCCAGCACCAGAAACGACGACAGAAGCTAGCACCGTCAGAGAAGCTGAAACACCCACAAGGAATAAAGGAATACGAAAAACAGAAGGTGCCACTAATATTAAAATGCGGTGGTATGGGTGGTAACCAACGAGAGAAGAGTATTTTGTACCACGTGGAAAGTTTAACCGGATATATTGCAATATGATTGGTTGAAACTTATCACGTGGTCAAATACTCCTCTCTCTCTCACTGGATACTACCCGTACCACCGCATATTACTACTGCCCCTGAAACTGTTGTCTAATCGTACTTTACTCTCGTCAGACGAAGCATTAAGAGAAAGTGACCCGCTGCGTTTTCCTCTGGAGTCATCATCCATCTTTCATTCGCCTTACCTTTTATAGCTCATAGTTCCAATTTTTTAAAAAGAGAAAAGCCTGAAACCTTAATTTGAAATTTTCTTTGACCTTCTAGTGATTACCGATTCGCCAACTGTGCCAGCACTAGAAACAACGACAGAAGCTAGAACCGTCAGAGAAGCTGGAACACCCACAGGGAATAATGGGAAACGAAAAACAGAAGGTGCCTTTAGTAAAAGCGGGGGTATGGGTTGTAACCAAAGAGAGAAGAGTATTCTGTACCACAGAGAAGTTTCAACCAGATACATTGCAATATGATTAGTTCAAAGTTATCACGCGGTACAAATACTCTTCTCTCATTGGTTACTACCCGTACCACTGCATATTACCACTGTCTCTAAAGCTATCGTCTAATCGTATTTCCCGAGTTCGAGTAACACCGCAATGATGTGCACTCTTCAATATGTGTCAAGGTGGGCTAAAAATTCAACTGGGGTCGCGAGGAGTGGTCTTTGTCATACCTCCCTATTCTAGCTCTATTTTTTTTTTTGATATATGAGGGAAACCAACTTCTATTTGAAAGTTTAACTGGCAGATGCGTTCATCCTTTGATAGGTGTCAATATACTTGCTGTGGTGTTACCCGTGGTATTAAGCATTCTAATCGCTGCCTCGGGAGTATTTTACTTGAAAAGGTGAGAACAAGTACTTAACGGAAACTCGATATATCTAGCGACTTTAAAATCTTTCATATCATGGAAGTAAGAAATGAATATGTTTAAGTCATTAACAAGACATCGCGATGCTCACATGATATTAACATTATGCAAAGACTAGAACCTTCGTTATGAGTTTCTTGCCTGTTATAAGACTTAATAAACCTACTTTTTAATAGGAGAGCTCAAAACCATGTGGACATCAAATCAGTCTCATTTCAGACGTGAGTACAAATCACAGTTAGCTTTGTTTGCTTGTTTGTTTGTTTACAATGACAGAACTTTTAATCAGATCCTTCTTCGTGTTCTGACTGACTCACCGTCCATTTATTTAAGTCCAGTGTGTTGTATTACAGATCTTTGGACTTTCGCCTCCGCAACCATACACTGATCAACTCATCTAATGCCCAGATCTCTACTTGCATGTTGTTCCAGGCGTTATTTCCTGCACGAACACTGCTAAAGATTGATTTGATCTACTGTCAGCTGCAAACCTGCTTTTAGGAGTCGTTATCGCAGTTTTTCACGTTTTCCTCTTTTAATGTTTGCAGAGGAACTGACGAACTGAACTATGCAGTGAACAGAATATACGATGATGGGTAAATATCTAATTCGAAACTCTAAGAACTGCAGCATTCTGGCATGAATGTTTACGCTTGTCCCACTAGGCTTGCAATATACAACGTACAATACGTCCATCGAACTCAGGAACACACGACGTATTATACTTCTTCGTTATTAGTAGAGGACATTGAAACAGAAACGTTTATGAGAAGGAGAAGGCAACCGGGAGAAGAATGAATCTAAATCTAGCGAGCACTTGGAATGATAAAATGTTATCTCCCAGCTACCGTTCGCGTCTCAAAACCGTTTGTGCCTGAGCTCCCTATTAAAGGCAACCTCTCAATTTTTCCTCTAATGTTTATGCTTTCATATAAACTACTGTTATTTTAAAAACAATACTGAATAGTTGACAAAATTTTACCGAAACTCAAATGAAAATTGCCCAAGCTATTACTCGGAAAACTTAAAAATCTCAGAACTGCATGCAGTTGTGAAGACATATTTAACTTTAATCATTTACAGTGATATTATTTTTTTTCCCTTTCTGATAGGGCCGATGAGGTGGTGTACCATGATTTTTAAGACTGAAGACTCCAGCACCGAGGATATGTTTTAGCTTCCTGCTGTCTTAAAAGAAATTTAAGAAAAAAGAAGAAGGGATAATTAAGTGTAAAGATCCTCTAAGGATTCTAATTATTTTCCCTATTAAGGGTCAAAGTAAAGAACATCAAGCGAAAGTAACATGTACCGTTTTTTTTTATTACCTAGAGGACGATAAGTAAGTTAACCAATTTTTCATTGCATAAATGTGAAGAGATGGTATATTTGAGTTCGTTGCTGTCCAAACGATGTAAGTTCAAAACGTTTGAGGATTACTGGCTCACAGAGCGTTTATCGCTTGAGTGTCGAAACCCACAGAATCAAAGTTATCATAACAGCCAATCAAAAAATAGTAAAATACTCTTAAGAACTAATGAGAACTCAGAGTAAAACCAACCGAACTGCCTAAAGCGCGTGAAAACGCGGGTGACCAATTTTGTGATTAACTTTAGTATCGCATCTGATTGGTTGGGAGAGTGGTACGAGGCTTTTGGACCAATGAACGGAGCAAAGTAAAACTAATGCAAACCCCGGATTATTAAACACACATTTTAGTCTATTGGATGAGTATCATAATATGATTTTCTTGATTAAATTTTTTACTCTAAAACATCAGTCACCTTTATCGTAAACAGTCCTTCTCAGAATTACCCTCACGCGGACGTTCAGACCTTTACCCCCGGTTCAAACCATTTACTGTATTATCGCTCTTTTAGTTTGACATTCTATCTAGAAAGGGAACTCGTCGCCCTCCATATATCTCGAAAAGTGAACCAACGTTTCATAAAAAGTTAAATAGGGCATTTTCTTTACGTTGTATGTTTTGTTTGAAGGTTCGCGTATGCTTGACATTCATAGATCTCAATGCTCTACTTAGAAAATCACAGAACAGCTGGGTGTATTATTATTATTATTATTATCACTTTTTTTATTATTCAGTTTATGATACTGCAATAAGCTACTTCTTTTTGCAGATTTATGAAACTGTACCAGACACATGACTGTGTTTCCCGTGTAGATTATTTTTCACCCATCAAAAATTAATGGCGATTTCTCAAAATACGTGGTCATTCCAGTAAGTCTACTACTGAAGCTAATAGCTCAGAATGAAACGCACTTAATAAAGTAACATTGGGAATAGCACGTGTAAAGCAAAAAAAAAAAAGAAACCAAGCAAATGTGATCATCCAGCGTTGGATTTTCATTTTGATGCGATGCTTTCGTTTTAATATTTCTCACTAATTATATATTTTGTCTGCGGTTTCGTTATGAACCGATACACCTCTCATGATGTTGCATGTTTATCACCCTCTCCCTGGAAAAGATGGCAAATCTCATGACCGTCAATCCTTTCTGTTTGTATGTATGTATGATATTATGATCTCAGATATGTCACAAGACAAACAGTTCAACTGAAACGAAAAGAGAAGCTGGCGGGAAACTTTAATTGGCAGCTTTCAAATAGAGAACAATAGTGAAGTCCCATGTAATAACATGTGTTGCTCTATGCTATCGGTTAGCGGGAAAGCTATTATACAATCAAAGTATGGTAAATTGGAAGGTTCGAAACAAATAATAGCAATTTTCTGAGTATGTTGTAATTTAAAATTAATGTTTTCATTAAGAAAGTAGCCAGGAATTTAATATTGAGGGAAGAAATACTTTCAGAGTGCTCTAATTTACAGTATGAATCTACGCTATTTTTTCTGATGGCAAGATAAAAAAGATAATGTTAGAAGATCGTCCATTTGAAAAAAAAAACAGACAAATCAAGATTTTTAAAGGAAAGAAAGTCTTTTATGTGGGTTAGAATTTGAAAAAACTGACTTGTGCACGCAAGGCCTACTCCTATTGATATAAAATTTACCATTTTCGGACGTCAAGTTATCTAAAATGCCAAGCAATTGTGCAAAAGCATTTACGTAGCAAACAAAGTGCTTTTAAAAGCATATTTTGGCGCACGCGTATTTGAACGAGTTCATTAACGAGCTGTTATTTCGGGAAATCGCTTTATAGAGAATCACGCACTTAACAGACGACCATTCTATGAAAGATGCAAATCTTAATATCATGTGAAATGTGTCCCTATTTGAGTTCGTCGAAGATTCTTCGATATGGGGATATCCACGATCAAGCTGCACTTTAAACTGCCTCTTGCAAGACAGCGAATTTGTATTCATGTATATATTTAATGATCTAAAGAGCCTGAAACATATGTCTGTTTTTTTGGCCACTTAGATAAATTTTTCGTTGACAGCGGTTACAAAGAAACAAATTTCTAATTCTGAGTCCTCTTGTTAATCTACTTTTAAAAAGGTCGCAAAAAAAGTATTTGTGACAAATTCCGTTTCTTTTATCACATTAAATTCTGTTATTTAAATTATTTTTTCACGTTGATCACTTTTCTGCAGTCTTTTAATCAAATACTATTCGAGAGAGTTTGCATATGAAGGGAGATTTTAATCATTGCTGCTGAACAAGAATGGGTTTTTCATCTCACTCTCAGCCTATGACTGCCATCTTAGAATCAAAGCCATAGAGAAACAAAGTGTTTAATTCGTAACGTGTGCGAATAATGCACGGATATCGGCCTTTAATCTACCAAGCCTTAACAGAAGATCTTTAACGTACGAAAACAAAGAGACAACCATCATCCTCCTCCAATGGCAACGGAGAGAAAATATTCAAGATTATTAAAAAGATTTCCTCAAAACAGGTTTAATTCTTATCAGTTATTCTTTAAGGTAAACCGCAGTTTCATTCGACTTGTGTCGGAAAATACCAACCGTAACGGCTTATTTCAGACGTGCTTTATCTAAAGCCAAAACCGTTTTAACCTCAGGCGACTCGAGAGAAGCATGTCGGAGACGAAATGTTGACTTCACTTGTGGCAAATTGCTTTTAGCAGCAGCTGAAAATAAGGCGCTAAAGGTGATTGTGACGTAAGGTTACGTCGGGATTCTCTTTAATATGGGAAACGCGACAGTCGTGAAAGTGAACGGTTACTTTTCAGAACCAGTAGACGCCATAACATTTCAGGCATTAATAGTATCGTGGGCATTACTCGGACTTCTCTCTGCTGGATTGAACATTCTCGTGTGCGCCATGGTAATTCATGACAAGAAGCTTCGCACGATGACAAACTATCTTGTTCTCAGCTTGTCTGTCTCCGATCTGATGATAGCAGTTGTGTTTGTCCCTGTGTACATTATCGATCATTATGCTAAGACCGTAATCGCAGGCTATTTTGTGGCCTTCGTCTTGTTGGCGACGGTTTTCAATCTTTGTGGCGTCACATACGAGCGCTATATCGCGTTGACACGACCATTTCGTTATCGAGCGATCATTAACAACCAAAATGTGTCCTTAATTATCGGCATCTCTTGGATCCTTCCACTGATTATCTCCCTTCTTCCGTTGGCTTGGAACACCGATGCGAGTTCCACCATTCACAAAGCCTACCTGGCGATTATTTTGGCCACTTGCATCTTCATTCCAAGTACAACAATGGTGTGTGTTTACATGAGTCTGCTAAGGGTGGTCCATCGTTTTGTGATAAGAAATAAAAAGCGGACTTGTAATGGGAACAATACCGGATACCGGGCGGGCAACGAAGAAAAAGCGGCTCGAGTGTTTGCCATCGTTCTTTTGATGTTCTTAGTTTGTTGGCTTCCACTCATTTACATCAACATCTGTTTGATAACAGACCAGAGACAACTTCTCTCGAATGAACTTATAATAATCTCGTTTTACACCTTAGTTCTCAACTCCATTCTGGACCCTGTTATCTTTGCTCTTTACAAAAAGGATTTCCGTGACACGTTGAAGAAGCGCTTACGGCTCAAGTGTCCCGGCACAGACCAAAATGGCAGTCCCAAAGAAGATTCTGACATGTGTCTAAGGAAGCTCTCTTTGAAAACCCATAATTTTGAGGAAGCTACATCCCCTTAACATCGAATACACCAAAAAATATCATAAATACATGCTTCATCATGTTGAAAATAAATACTTCTGAGCGACTTTTTAACAAATACTGCAAAAGTAAAAGCACCCGTTAATTCTATATAAAAATATTTCGATTAGCTGAGAGCTTAAAGAATAAATTTCAGCTGTAGTAACGCTGAAATTGGAAATTACTTTCTTGTGGACAAATTGCCGAGAGCAGTAAATTGAACTTAAACCTTTTTACTTGTTTATTTGTCTTTTTTGTATGGAAAACCTTTGAAGAACTTTTTAAGAATGATTACTCTATAGTATATCATTTTAACTATAACTTGTGCTTTATAGATTGAAACGATGAAGGGGAAAGTACAATAATCGTTGCTCGGCTGTCAGTGACGCGAAGCGGAGAAAAGGTCATTGATGTATGATTATTTCATAAAAATGAATTTTTAACATGGATAAAGGCGAAGCGAAAAGCAATATTAAAAGTTCTTTTGCATACTCAAAATGACACCTTTCACATTTTTAGAAAGCCACGGCTAGTCAAATATGATTCTTTCACATTGATATTTTTTAAAGAATAAAAAATGTAGGTTTACATGACGGGGAAGTTTTTACAGGCAATCATGCAAGTACAGGCTGTTTCAGTTCATGGGTTTACTAAGAAAGAGACATTGGAACTTCGCTTTTAGGTCCTTTGGATTAATTCAAAAATGCACCAGTATTGTACGGTCTAAAAAACTGACTCGGTATTTTTATGTTTATTTGAACGATATCTACAAGTTTTGCAAACCTGAAATTAGTCCGTGCTGTTTTGATGTCTGTATCTACAGATTGAATGGACTACGAATTACTACAAACAATTTATTTACTTACAAGCACAGTTAATTTCAATTCAGTTATATATTGGATTGTGTTTATGTTGAAATAAAGTCTTGAACAAAGTATCATTGATAAAATGAGACTTTCAGACAAGTATGCAATTATGACCGAGATGAGACGCCTGTAATTTCGCATGGCAAAAATTAAAGTGAACTTAGGTAGGGCTTATGTAAATCACATTTTATCTATTATTAGTCAAAAGCAAAGAACTTAGCTTTATTTACATTCGTAATCTTAATTTTTCTCTATGATAGGCGAAGCAATACATTGAATTAATCATGTTTTTGTTTCGGTGTGAAGTGAAGTACACGAAAAGTTAATGTCTAAGACGACTCGTTGAACGATTCTGACAAACGTTTTTATTTTGCATTGAGAATTTAACTACAACGCACTATTTTCTTAGTTTCATGTGTTTGAGAATATCATTTAAAATATCTGGATTTGTATGAGATCCGATATTTACAGGTATGGTGATAATAAGTGGTATTTCGAAATGTTTGAAAAGAAAATTTGCCCTGAGCGGGATTTGAACGCACGTCCCCCTGTTACTAGTCAGGTGTGATGACCACTACGCAAACAGGACAACCATGCTGGCAACACGGCAATGTGATTTACGTGATCGGAGACGTGGTCTCCCAGGAAACTTAATTTTCAAGGTGACAGGGTAGGGGAAGCCTATAACCCCATATGAAACCCAACTAAGGATCTATTAAAGATGCACGACCTAAGTCGTGTATCTTTAATATTATAATATATATATATATATATATTATAAATATATATATATATACCTTTGAAAGAGAAGGTATTATCGTAGATCTATCATCGCTCCCAAATCCATGATGACCTAAACAAGGACAAATATTGCAGACCAAAAATGAATCAGAAATTTGGATCGGGAATCATACTGCGATGCACAACTCGTCCTGTTTCGTGTATTTGAGGATACCATTAAAAATATTTTAAGACTGTGTGTGTTCCGATATATTCACAAGCATAGCGACAATAACTGGTTTCTCGAAGTGTGTAGACCTTATACCTTGAAAATAGAAAGTATCATCGTAGATATATCATCGTCCTCAAATCCGCGATAACTTACACTGAAACAAAAATATAGCGGACCAGAAATGAATTAGAAATTCAAAACAATAGTAAATCCGGAAAAAGAAGGGCTTTAATATTCCACAATAAGTTTATTCAGTAATCACTATGAAACCATACTTCTACCCAAATTTTGTAACCATCTGAATGAGGTTTATGATTTACGTAAAAGCACATTGTTACATATACCTTTGAAACAAGATATCCCAAATTGCTTTATTTTTTAAATTGACTAAGTGATAATCTCGTTTTTTTTTTTAGAATAACTGTCATTCGGCAGCCGGATTTTGCTGATAACAACACAAAGCTAATTGAATGGTTGCACGTGTCAACCGCGAGACACTCTCGGTGTATCAGGGCAAATGAAATATTTCTTAATTTGCTGGTGGTATAATCGACACGAAAATCCCCATATCAATCATTTGTCAAAACTGTCTTTTTAGGTCCGAATCTCTTGAAATGTTTTGCTGAGGCCAGCGACTGAAGCAGGCTAAAGGCGACGAACATTTCCGACGATAGCACCTAAAGATGTACTTTCAATAAGATCATTAGTAAATGCATCATTTGATTTCTTATCATAGGCTTTAATAACTTTTAGTAGATGAACTCGATAAACAAGTCAAAAGATTCGTCTCTTACATAAAGGTCGAAAGCCAAGGTAAGCTAAACTGTTTTCTCCTTGATCAGTTAACTAAAAGATTTTCTTAAGATTCTGCATAAACAAAGCAGGAGTTGTTTGATCAAGAGTTAAAGATACAATCATGTAATATTTTCAGAACAAAATACGACTAAAATGGAACAAACTGAACACGAGGATGTTCTGAACCAGACCTTAAAGAGCATGATACCGATTTTGGATCACTACTTTAAATACTGGGTATGTCTAAGGCATAGAATGCTCTATCCCGTAAAGTTTCCCCGTTCTACTTGTATTAAAATTTGTATCGCTAAACTGAAAAAATTCGATTTGTAGAGTACACGAGATCTAGAAAATATCTAATGATTCCACATAATTCTAACACAGATTATTTTTACAGGTTTGGGGTTTAAATTTTGCGCTTTTTTTACAACGCATTTCATTTAGGCGTTAATCGTGTTGAAAAGAAAAAATAACTTAAAAAGGCTTTAGACAAAGAATTTATTTCCTTTGGGCAGTTTTGCAGCACAGGTTATAGAATTGTCAGTCGGTACAATTGAGTACAGCTGTTTGTTAGACTCTACCAATAGTCTGTCCAATGAAAACAAAGCAAATGATTTGCGGTAATACCTTTGATTTCGCCATAGATAATTGCATTAATTAGCGACAATGCTTCTTCGTAATTTTTTCAATCTGATTTTCTAACCTCAAAGGAGAGCAGAGAAGTTAATTTGACTTATCAGCCCTGTGTTCTCTTTTGACTTTTTTTATATTGCTTATCTCTCTTTCAGGGCTGAGTACCAGCTCATTTTCAATGGTCATCACAGCACAATGAAACGATACTTGAATCCGTTCTATTGACGTCATTTTCCACGGGCCTTTCGGTTTTGAGGCACGAAAACGACAAAGCTGATTGCTGAAAATTTGCCGTTTTGCGTCATGAAATTAAGAGGAAAGAAGCTTCGGGCGGCGAACTATCCAATTACCTGTGTTACTGAGTTGTATACATCATAGAGTAAAGACTTTTAATACAAACATGGCTTTATTGTGTTAGAAAAAAAAAACATGAGCAAATAGAGATTTAGTCGCATTAGAACGAGAGCTTTGTGTGGATCGTGAAAACAATCGGGCACTTAGTTGCAGCTACATTTGCTCACAATTCATCTTCGCTTTTACAGTCTTTTATTTTCTTTTCGCGCAGCGAATTGTTCGCGCCATTGTAATGTAATATAATGTAATGTAATGTAATGTAAAACTTTATTTATACACGGAGAATCATCAGTTAAGCTAAAGGTAAAAACTAAAACTACTACAACTGTTTTACATGATTGCCGTGTGGGAATCCGATATCTCAGACACCTTCTTAATACCCCGTTTGAACTGCCCAATAGAACCATTGATAACCCAACATCTCAACAACAAGTTGTGACTGAAGATTAATAGTCGTTAAAGACATACTACCATTTTTTTTCTCTTGTCAGTCACATTATAGAAAAAAAAATTCAATTAACATTTACCTTCTGGTTGACTTAAATTCTGTAATCTAGTCTGGTAAATAACTGACTTTCACTTTTTTAATAAACACAAAACATTTTCATTGTGAAAATTCACACAAAAAACTAATCAGACTATCCGCGTGTCGAAAGATCTACTGAACATGGAAAGCCATCAAGGGAATATTTAAGTTTTGAGTGCAAAAACTAAATAAGTGGAAAAATCTAACCTAGCTGTGAAAAGATTCACAAGGTTCTGACAGGGAATGCACGAAATCCCAAAGGTCGCGAGCTGTGATACATTTATCCACGTCTCTATGACTACTGAAAGCTTTAAGTCGAAAGGCAATTTTCAAACGTCGCGAAGGATACAAGTATAAACAAATGAGATTGTCACGGAGTCATTTTACAGGACCTCTCTCCTTCATGTGATTATCAAGACCTGATAATCTTCCCATTTTCCATCCGAACACCTCCACCCATTCCCCCTTTCCCCCATTCCGCCTTATCCCCCTCCCCACACTTCCTTAATTAGTATAGACAATATGTACCCATGTTTGCCGTTTAATAGGCCCAATTTATCTTGGGAAATCAAAAGTTCACGATGAAGCCGGCAAATGTTATTGTGATAAGTAATTAGACTTCTAACACTAATTGCACCGAAGCGTTAGGGAGGCAGTAGACCTTTGCGGAAAATATAGCGCACGGGTCATTGCTCGTCTAGTTTTTAAACTCAACCAACACATGTTTTCCATCTGCTGTCACAGAGAATGCAATAATGACCTGTATTTACTTTCCACCAGAAAACCGATGGTACAAATCCATCCTAAATCCACCTTGGAACAATATAGTGCGAAGGTATTGTCAACAGGCCCATTATTATGGTAATGAGGTTACGAAAAGTAGATGTATAATTGGGCGTTTGGTAATTCACGGATCGTTTTCGTTCCGTATATTGTAAGAACATGTTTGAAACCCCGGAGCAATTGCAGAGTTGCATAAAGGCTCGCACACTGGTAAGTTGAACCATATTTTGACGTAGATCTGTCCTTATATATTTCATAACCTCAAAGCACATTGCGATTAATCAAACATTCTGTACGCATGCACAATGTTTACTTTTTTAAAATCTTGAACCGACAGCCACACTGTGAAACTTCAAGCTGATGTCATATTTGAAAGCCAGAATCAAAGATTTTAAGGAATTTAATTGGAAGTGAACCTTGACTGATCGGCTT